AGCATTTGCTTCTCCAAAGGCTTGCAAAATTATGGCGACCTCTTATTCCAAAACAACTAGCCCATTGTCACCAGTGATCAAAGACGGCTCGATCAAAAACCCTCCTGCTGCTGCCTTCATCACTGTTCCCTCCTTACCACCCAACTCTGCTCCATCTGTCTCCGCTCCTCCCAACCTCCAGGCTTTTCCGACCTCATCGTCTCCATCCTCTTTCTCCGACCAATCTATCTCCATACTCCCTTCGCAATCATCTCTGGTGGAAAGTCAATCTACACCTTCACCTTCATTGAAAACTGCTTCTGCCGATGTTTATCCGCCAGCGACATCTTTATCGGAACTCCCGCATAAAAATATCTATAAAGAAGGTGTGATGCCGCCTCTATCTTCATCTCATTACTCTCCCGCTCTCTCGCATACCACTTCTTTCCTTTCCTTTTCTTTATCTCCCTCGTCTTCTTCTTCATCCACTTCGTCTCGTGAGGTGCAATTTGCTGCAGCGCCTGGCTCGTCTGGCCATGCCTCAACTGAACCCTCCCGACCTTTCGGCCTTGTCACGGGGCCCTGGTTAGCTCCCAGTGCATTAGCCGGTGAATCTCGGTTTGTTGATCTACAAATGCGCGCCATGCTCCAGTGGATCGCGAGTGCTATAGCCAGTGACTCAATCAACTCTGTTGCTTCGCCTGCTGTAGGACCGACCCAACAACCACACGAATTGCATCAGCGACAGAACGATCAACCTAATGCAGGAGGACAGTCGGAGCTGGAACTTGAGGCTGAGCCGAATGGTGACAGAGAAAACGATGGTCCTTCCAGCAGAAAGGTCATGGACCGAAAATTAAAAACGCCTCATATGAAAATTCGGACAGAGGAAATAATTGATTGCCAGTCTCATCCTATCAGTGATGCACTCAGCTCAACGTGTTTTCCGAATACCAATTGTCCACCTCAACTCAACCCTAATATTCCATCATTCCAGCTTTCAACCATCATCGATCCAGAAATTTATCATGAAGAGAACCTTTCTACTTCGTCTTTCGTATCAGCAACTGCATTACCCTCAGACATTTTAAGACATGCCAACGTCCCATCTAAAACCGAAATTAGCGTCAACGCTACTTCACTAGATATGATCAACTGCGTTAGTGACTCAACAACGCCAACAACAACAACCTTTAGTACTATTCCAATCAGACCTTCCTCCCCTAAAAGCATTCCATCGACATTATCAGGCACCAGCACCATTTCAGCAACGCCAAAGGCCAATGAACTTAGTCTCTTAATAAAGCCTTCTACTTACCTCACCACAATAAAAACCAAGGAAACCGCTAGTACGTCACCTCATAGCACAAGTACCATTACCACAGGGGCAATATCATTCACAAATAAAACTATATCCACAACATTATCACCCAGATCTATTGTCATTCCAGACGATATAACCAACAGTGGTAATAATATAAAAACATCTACTATTGATTCTACCCCAGAAACGACACTTATTCCACCTCCAAATCTTATAACAATGAAGATCGCTAGCCAAACCATTTCGCCATTACCTAATGTCCTCAACACTATAAAGACAGAAACGGCAGATATTGCCGCTTGTTCAAATGCATCCAACATTACCAAACTCACCACTACCAAAAAAGCGATTCTTATAAAGGCCCCCGTAAAAATAGCCGCACTTAACACTATCCGAACCTGTTCAGCCTCAACTAAGGGTACTACATTATCACAAGGGCAAAATTACGCCACTGCGAAACTGACCCCTTCTACATTCTCGACAACGTCCACCACTAGCAGCATTTCTCCAACAGACACTCTTGGTCCAGAAAGTCCCATCAGCACTATTGTGACCTCACCTATTACCACAAGGACAGATTTAATTAACCCAAGCACTGAAACTGTCCCAGTTTTTGGATCCATAAACAGCACCATCCCTCCTACTTCGGTTTCCACTGCCACTACGAACGCCATTGCTAATAATTCTAGTCAGGCTGCACCGAGGTTACATGCCTTACCTCGTCAAGCAGAATCCCGGATTGGCCAACGTAGCTACATTTCCCCCATCGTCTATTGCATCCAAGAAGATTCCCAGGCCCAAGAAGTGAGACCTATATTCATTATCTTTGCTTTTTGGTGTCTAGTTTATGACCTAATATTTTTCCTTATCCTGCTTAAACTATATGTTCTGATCTCCTTGGTTATTCCCCTACTTTCTGTCTAATAGCATTCCATCTAATTTTCTATACGATTTGCTACACGGAATCAGATAACTAAAGCTTGGCTTTTATCTAAAAGCATTTTAAAAATACTTTTAATAAATGCTACTATGATTTCCTATCAATTAGTTTATCATGAACTGTTTTCCATTTCTCCAGGAAATACCAGGAGGCCATCATGTACAGTATAAATTCCGCATTTAAGAGTTTTTTTATTTATTCAAATTACTCCCTATTATTCATCTCTTATCATTGAGAATGTTTTGCATATGCCAAATAGTGAATAATCTTAATTTTTTATATTTTAATATATTGTTAAAACGAGAAGAACAATTTTATTGTAGTTTTCGGCTGCTGTTCCATAGTTCGCATGGACAGTAATGTTACTTTTTATTATGCTATCACATCTACCACAGTTTGGAATCATCCTATTGTATTTTGTTATATTGCGACTGCGCAAAATAACATTTGCTTTGACCTAACTGTGACTTGGTTGTGTTCGGTTGCCTTGGCTTATTTCCTTCTGATACTCCTACTTGCGCATTGATGTACATATACATCTATTTCAAGTCCCAGAGGAATATGATATCAAGACAGTTGTTTGCCTTGCGCGGATAGATTCCTTTCGCACTAAACTTTCAAAAAATAGCTTATGAAGTTTTGCCTTGCGGAGGCCATTCTAGTCGTGATAGGCGCAACCATATGCCGTTAAACCGACCAGATACTGAAATTGTTTCACTTATCTAATTCTATTTTTGAAATGGGATAGCCAGAACGAAGCTTCTGCAGATTGAATGTCTTAGTTACATTTATTTGCAACTCATAAGCCTCTTGGATGAAAGATTTTGAGTTGTACTCACGCATACATTGAAAATATTGTCATTCTTTCTGTACATATCCCTCTAAGATACTTAGTGACGGATAAAGACACCATCTATGATGGTGGAAGACGAATAACTTTGAGGCATCTCTATAACTCACACGTACTCTATTAGGGGAATTAGTCTGCTTAAGAGACTCTTACAGCGAATCCTGACGGTATTTTATGGCGGATAGTCTACTGGGAATCTACAGATGAATTTAAACAAGTTAATTATGTTGAAATTATCCATTGTTCTCCGCGATTTACTGACTCACCGTTTTTTTCATTTGACAGCCTAATGCAAAATGCAAACTTCATTGCTAAGTGGCTTTATCAAATTCCGCATTGGGCTTCAGAGACTACTAGCTCAAGTTAAGCTTTATTCAGTTTTATAGGAGCTTTGTTGTAGCAGTATCGATAAATTTTATCGGTTGTGGCTGGTTTTTATCCGCAATTTACTTTCTGCCTTCTGAACTCTTTCTTCCCAGCTTGCCAGCATTGTTGCCTTGGTAACCAAGGCCGATCTGAGTGCCGGCGAGCTTTTAGCCATGGTACTAGACTATGCTGAGACTCGAAGAGCTGCTGGCCATTGCCCTCTACTGCCGCGACCTTCGCATAACAACCCTGTTTCAGCCGCCACTACTGATTTCAGCAGTAGAACCGCGACCGCTTGTCCAAAAAGCAATCTGAAATCTGGGCCTACTTTGTTCGCATACTTGACCGAACGTCTTGACCGCCGGTCCACCTTTGCCTCTTCTAAGCTGTGACTAACGACTTTTCCCCTTGTTTCTGCCCCTTAGCTGTATCCGTATAGTGATACATTCCCAGTTGTACATAACATCTTTATTCTCTAATAAAATTCATTATATGCGATTCAGCATTCGTCTTTCTCATCCTTTTATCATTGTCCTGGTCTTTTTTGATTTAAATGATCAAAGCTTTACAATTTGTTAGTCTTTGATATCATCTTTACAGGCTTTCTGGCTAACAGTATTCGGTCTAACCAAAATACTCGCTGTTCGCTTGTAGTTATTTGAGCCAATCGCCATAAGCTTGACCAAATTACCGTCCTTATACTCTTTGAATGACAAAATGGTCTTAGTTACTTAAACTTTTGGAGAAATTTTGATTAATCATTCATCCAGACAAGGTCATTTCAAACCAGGAAACTTCAAAAATAATTTTAACTGGAATGTGTAGTCAGAATAATTATCTTTGTCGGAGATTTGCTCATTTGTTTTTGGCTCTGTGTATGAGCCAAAGCAGTAACTTCATCAGTGCAAAAATTGGGCATTACATAATTCACGGCTAGCTGACTTTGTCAGATGAGTCTTTTGGTAGTCTTGATCCTATTATTGAAATGGGGTCCTGGCTAATACATTTTTATTGTCAGGCTAAAAATTTATCTGTGATATTTTTAATGCACTCCAGAAACATCAAAAAAATTTTACATAAATCCAATCCTCCTTTACACTTTCTAAAAGTCTTAATGCGACCCACTCTAAGGCCCATGGCCAATTCTCTTGATTCTCTGCTATCAAGTAACTCTCGCCAATCTCTCTTTTATCTTAAAAGACATCCCTTCTTGTATATTTGGCAAGAAATCTCAGTATTGTCAGGGCAACTTCAGGCGCCGGTGGCTGAATTGTGAATTATTTTTTATTTGAACCTCTGCCATAAGTCATAGTTGACTTAAATGTACCTTCCAGTTAGTTCCGTTCTTGCGAATGCCTGAGGAGGCGAAATGTGAGGAGGTTACACACTGTGATTGTGCGCTCTGCTCCCCACTTCTGGGCCAGCAATTTTTTCACATTCAAAGCGGAATCGCCCACTTGTTGTCCTCAGGACTTGCATACGAACGCCTCTGACCAGACTCGATTGATTATAAATTGCTGTGAAGGGTCAGAAATACTAGAGGAACTCTTGACTTCTTCTAACTGAAGGCTTTATTCTGCCATGATTCTGCGTTATAGCATATCGTGGTGGTGATCCGAGGCGGCTGCGTACAACTCATAAGGCTATCCGTTGTTTCCGAGTCTCTTTGCCCCTCTGCTTCTTTTTCTATTCCACGCAAATGTTACGCATCTCTTGGTACTGCCCTAATGGACTTTGTCCAGGGTGGCGCAAATCTGGTCTGGGCTGCCAGCATTTGACGGAGACTGATGGGGTCCGGTCTCGTCGTTTTATCAAGTTCACCTCCACCCTCGCACTCGGCTCACTCAGCACTGCCTCTTTCTCGGAGAGAACAATTGGCCTTTAAATTTCGTGAGAAAATCAAGTTTTCCCACAATTATATGGGTAGGCTTTGTTTTTCTAAGGTATGAAGACCAAGATGGTGTGGCCTTTTGTACGGTAGCAGTCTCCTTTCGTTGTATAGAAGTTGTTTGACCTTGTTTTCGCAACATGGTCATATTGGTAGGAAGAC